TGACAAAGTGAACTGTAAGAAGGAGGTTCTTACATGAGTAGTTGACTCACAAAGTGAACTGTAAGAAGGAGGTTCTTACATGAGTAGTTGACTCACAAAGTGAACTGTAAAAGGGAGGTTCTTACATGAGTAGTTGACTGACAAAGTAAACTATAAAAGGGAGGTTCATACCAGGGTAGCTGACTGACAAAGTAAACTGTAAGAAGGAGGTTCTTACTTGGGTAGCTAACTGACAAAGTGAACTGTAAAAAGGAGGTTCTTACTTGGGTAGCTAACTGACAAAGTGAACTGTAAAAAGGAGGTTCTTACCTGAATGGCTAACTGACAAAGTAAAATGTAAAAAGGAGGTTCTTACCTGGGTAGCTGACTGACAAAGTAAACTGTAAGAAGGAGGTTCTTACCAGGGTAGCTGACTGACAAAGTAAACTGTAAAAAGGAGGTTCTTACCAGGGTAGCTGACTGACAAAGTAAACTGTAAAAAGGAGGTTCTTACCAGGGTAGCTAACTGACAAAGTAACCTGTAAGAAGGAGGTTCTTACCTGGGTGGTTACATAGTTCACAATGTCTAAGTTTCTTTGCAACTTTGGATAGTTTGAGTTGTTTGAATTCATTGTCATTTCTCCACTCATGAAACCTAGATACAGAAAATGATTTAAAGGAAATGTTTCAACACTTCACATTTTAAAAATGTTGGTCTTTGTTCATTTTACAACACAGAAAACAAAACTCATACTAATCATTTCAAATGTTCAAGATTCAGAGTACAACATTTCTTCATACATAAATGTAAAGTACTAATAGTAAAACTATTGATCATTTCCATATCAGATCTAGATGAACACATGACATGTTATTAGTATTTCTAACACAATAAACAGATCTTTGGAGCAAATCATGTTGATAAACTAACAAAGTTTTCTTATTAGACTACTACCAATTATTACTTGAACTCTTTTCAAAGTAGATTGTAAATAAGACATTTCATGAAAATAACAGGAAAAGGGAATAGATAGTCTCAAGGGCAACATAAACTACAGCTAAAGGGGAGAAACACAGTCTTGAGAACTACATAAACTACAGGTAAAGGGGAGAAACACAGTCTTGAGAACTACATAAACTACAGCTAAAGGGGAGAAACACAGTCTTGAGAACTACATAAACTACAGCTAAAGGGGAGAAACACAGTCTTGAGAACTACATAAACTACAGGTAAAGGGAAGTATCACAGTCTTGAGAGCTATATAAAATACAGGTAAAGGAGAGTATCACAGTCTTGAGAGCTATATAAAATACAGGTAAAGGAGAGTATCACAGTCTTGAGAGCTATATAAAATACAGGTAAAGGAGAGTATCACAGTCTTGAGAGCTATATAAAATACAGGTAAAGGAGAGTATCACAGTCTTGGGAGCTATATAAAATACAGGTAAAGGAAAGTATCACAGCCTTGAGAGCTATATAAAATACAGGTAAAGGGAAGAATCACAGTCTTGAGAGCTATATAAAATACAGGTAAAGGGAAGAATCACAGTCTTGAGAGCTATATAAAATACAGGTAAAGGAGAGTATCACAGTCTTGAGAGCTATATAAAATACAGGTAACATGTTGATCAGTACTAGTTCTATAGCTACTACCTTGTAACATTTTGACCAGTACTAGTTCTATGGTTACCACCTTGTAACATGTTGATCAGTACTAGTTCTAGGGTTACCACCTTGTAACATGTTGATAAATACTAGTTCTATAGCTTCCACCTTGTAACATGCTGATCAATACTAGTTATACAGTTACCACTGTCTGATCTGATGATAATAACAGCTGAGAAGTTGTCTCCATAGGCAAAGCAAGACTGACTAATGTGTAAAGCAAGTGGTCAAAATATTCGAGCAAGAGAAAACTTGGAAGTCCCCTTCACTGTGGGAAGCTTTTCTATACATGATATGTAAATGAGATTGAAGAATACTGAATACTGGGAATAGACTTCATGCAAATACATGGGTGTGAAGTTAGACTGGTTTCAAATACATTCACAACCTATGACCAGAAAATCCCTGTGCAATACATGACAATTACAGGTTAAAGTTCCAGTGATGACGAGGAGGACAGATATAATACTACTAAAAAGTGAGAATCTCATATCAGGACTTTTTAGGAACAACTTTAGATCTAGTGACTGGGTTTTGGAAGAACACATTCCAGCTTGTACTCATGTATTATTGGTTGGAAGAACTCTTGTGAATCTGAAGTATAAGAATGTCACCATTGGACCATGAACACAACAAACCATAAGATCTGAGAAAATTCTGGATGGAATATTGCAAAATGTGACACTGTACAGGTAGTACTTCCAAACCAAAGAACATCAGAAGTAGCCACATTAGGAACAAAATGCAATCTGATGTCAAACCTTCATATAAAGAGCTAACCAGCCCATCAACAGGATATACAATTATAGGTATGTGAAAGTCTCACATGTGATGAACATCACTGATTACACAACTTGCTTACAGAATACCAAAACACATTCTCCAGTGGAACTGACATCTTAGGCTGGACAAATAAACTATACCATTGATACTAGAGACGTAGCTTTCTTGATCATTTGAGAAAAAAGTTGAAGTTCTCAAAGAAAAACCATTTAAAAAGAAAGGAGTAAATGAATGAAGCACTAGTACTTGGGCATCACAAATCATACTTATGAGGAAGGATGAATGGATGTGCGATATTTCGTGTGGCTTACCAGAGGGTGAACAAAATCACAAAACAAAGATATCTAACTGCTGCCAAGGATTGACTCTACTTTGGATGTTTTATCCAGATAAAAATGGTTTTCAACATTGAACAAGAAGAATGGATAATGGCAAGAGCAACTTGATAAATTACAGCCTATACTGCAGGAAATGGGTAGTGGCAGTTTGTTGCATTACCATTTGAATTATTAAATAACTTGTTAAATTCAAATAACAAAAGGAATGTGTTCTCTCTCTCTCTGAACTACAGTGGAATACTATACTCACTGACTTAGAATAACAGGTATCTACTTGGATCACACAATAACAGGTATCTACTTGGATCACACAATACCAGGTATCTACTTGGATCACACAATAACGGGTATCTACTTAGGTTACATAATAACAGGTATCTACTTGTTCACACAATAACGGGTATCTACTTGGATCACACAATAACGGGTATCTACTTAGGTTACATAATAACAGGTATCTACTTGGATCACATAATAACAGGTATCTACTTGGATCACATAATAACAGGTATCTACTTGGATCACATAATAACAGGTATCTACTTGGATTAAATAATTACATGAGGGAAGACCTTCAAATAGACTCATCATTGACCAAGAAAATTACAGGACCGAATGATGAAAGAGGACCTTAAGCTGAATCTCAAAAGTGCAAGTTGTTCTATCAAAATGCGAGTTACATGGAACACAGTCATTTGAAAGGACATGTCTACAGCACCTGCCAAGATTTAAACTGCTCAGTATTGGTCAGTACCGCAGAACTTTGGTAAGATAAGAATATTTATTGGACTGTGATCTTATTATCACCATTTTATAAAATCACTCTCTGACGTACATTATCCTGTACAGAGATTAGTAAAAACATAGAGACATGTCCTAAAAAACCTGACATTCCAACAACGTGTGTGTTAACTGACCTAGAGACCTACCCTAAATAAGGTGATATTCCAACAATGTGCGAGGTAATTGACCAAGAGACCTGGCCTAAATAAGGTGATATTCCAACAATGTGTTTGTGTGTGTGTGTGTGTTAACTGACCTTGAGACCTGGCCTAAGTAAGGTGATATTTCAACAACAATGTGTGTGTCCATTGACCTTGAGACATGGCTTATATAATGTAATATTAAAACAATGTGTGTATATTAATTGACAATGAGACCTAGAAAAATTACCATATAGTTAAGGGTAGGGGTCAGAGGTCATGTCATTACATTTGTAGTCTTACATTCAAAATTTTATTGAAGTACTATTTTATGAATTTATGTCAATAACTTTGGCATCAAATTGTAATTATAATTCAAATTTTAGTACTATACATTACTTAATTTCTTAATTAATCAGTAAATATTAAAACAAAATTCCTAAATATTGATTTTTTTTTTGTGTCACATGGTATGTTGCTTTGGTTCAAATTAGATATGTTGATGTACAATACAAAAATCTATAGTTTCTCAAATAACCAATATTAACAAGCTAGATTATCAAATAAGAAACTCCTATCTTTTGTATTTACTGAGATATCACTATATTTAGTGAATCAAACACAGTGGCTCTACTCACATTTTCCATTTTTGAAAACATTTGTTTACTTACACTCACTTCGTTCTATCACGTGTTTAAAATTGAACAAAAGTTCAGAATTTCCTCCATGTGATTTTCTCACCATTCTCAAAGTTTTTATTTAACAAATATAATCTCTTTGTTTCCAACCATGAAGAGAAGAGGTAAGATGAAATGGTGATCGAAAAATGATAATTTTTTAGACCCAAATACAGCTTAGTTACTAAGCCTGATAAATTACAGTGGAATTCTGGGATATTGGTATTGTGGTTTCTAATTTTTTGTTATTTTAAAATGCATATATAAAAACAAAACAAAAAAATTTATTTGTAGGTAGTAATTATATATATATAAATTCAAAACTATATTAAAAAAACAAAAAACTTTGCACTTTCCAGTTGTTATCCAAAAGTCATAACGGAGACTGTCTGTGGTAATAGCACCCAAAAGCGTTGGGGATATCCCACCTATCAGACAAAATCAAAAAAGCAGATGAGAAACCAGTCAGCAGTCGTGTAAAATTCAATAAGGGTACAGAGTTGAGTGCTTACACCCACAACGTCTCAACTTTTACTGCGTTTCACTGTCTGCAGTCAGTTGTGGGAAGGCAGTTACCCTTAAAAAGATGTAATAAAGTTAAAAATAGAAATAAGAGAAAATTAAACCACCCAAAAAATATGTATTTCTACTAAACAATGTCTACCATCCTCCACCCTTGAAAGTTCTAAAAAATCCTTAAAGTAGAATTAATACCACCCCAATAATTCTACTACATGTTACTCCCAACCTCCACCCTTTTCTGAAACGACTTATTAAAAAAAAAAAGATTTACACTTTTAAAATAAATAATATTTTATATCCATGAGAGATTTTGTTGTTCATTAAAAAGTTACATCATATTTTTTAAAAATAAAAATCATTTGACACATCTGCAAATCTCACTTACTTTAATTATATCCCATTACTAAGTATTCAAGAAATGGATATTCATTACATTTCAACATTCACACAAAGAAATGTTAATATTAGACTGCGATGTTAGTTTTTTGGTAAAAATATACTTTCTACCTTTGAATTACATCAACATCTTCCAATTTCTGCATCAGTTTAACAGCAGTCTCTTTTCCAACACCTGGCACACCTTTAGGGAGGTAATCACACCCCAACAAAACAGCTAATCCTATCATTTTTCTTCTGTCTATCTTCAACTTACTCTCTATATTGGTCATGCTATACATATGTACCTTTGCAAGCTAAAAATAATAGTAGATATATGGATTGTAATTACATTAAAAAATAAATCCAAGTTAAAAACAAATATGAACACAAAAATATTCACATTTTGATTCATCCAAACTATTCTTGGGAATTTTCCAAACTTATCTTTACATTCAAAGAAAACTTATTATCCTTTTTTGTTTCTATATGATGTCTTATACTGGTTTATCATACAGAGCTTAAACACTAGACTTCTGTTGTCTCCTGTGTTAGACCGTAACTCTCAAATGCCCAGGTGTGTAGATGTGGCACACCTGTTGTATGGCTTATTTTATTAGATTAAAAAACTACTGGATGAAATAGTTTTAAACTTCAAAGAATTTTCTACAGATTATGTAGCTTTTGGAAATAATATATTTTTTATATGCAAAATTTGTATAAATATTCAGCTTTAACAAGATTTCACTATGATAAATTTTGAGAAATAATTAAAAATTCTTACCATTGCTGTACATTTTAATTACCGATTTTGTCTTCCTATATTTTACTTAAAGCTTTCCTATTTTACAAAACTGCAAGTTTAGTCTTTGTTTTGAGTTCAAGAAACATTTCTTGCAGTTTCATGGTGTATATGATCACTAGCATATAACGAAACTTTACCATACTAAAATTATAAGCAATCAGACATTTTTTGTAAATTATTAATCATATGGTTTCATTTAATAAATTTAAATTCATTTTATCTACATACATATATAGCCTTGGTGGTGAAATAAAACATCTTTTCTCCTAGCAACATATTATCAAGCTAGCTTTTATCACTTTGTTCCAATCTCTACACAAATATCCACTCAACTGGAAGCCATGTTGCTTATATAGTTGGAAAAAAACAACCAGAAAAAGAGCTTTCATTACATATTTAGATTAGCAGTCTATGACTCCTCAAAGCTGAGATACAAGCAATTACATCACACTATATCAATCAAGGTTGAGAAACAGTGATTGGCTAAAACTACACATGAAGTTACAAAGTCAAATTAGAAATATCTTGTTCAAAACTATTTCAATTTTGATCCTGAGGGACAAGAAGTGGCATATTACACTCAGAAAAGTTCACAAACACTAATGTTTCTATTTGAAGCATGCTAAAGTCAGAAATAGCAATTTTTATGTACAAAATTAAAAACTTTTAATGAATAACTTTCATCACTAATGTCTTTTGTTTTGTTTAATGTGTGAAAGACTGATTATATGTTTATTTTCTACAATTCTTTTAATTCAATGATGCAATTTTGATCTCAAGGAAGGATACACCAATCATGATATGATAGCATTAAACAGTAATTACATGAATGAGTTAAAAATTAAACAATATTCAACACCTACTTTTGCATCTATGCTGAAATCACGATAAGCTACTAATCCACCATACAAAAAGAAATCACTGTCTTCAGTAATACAACCATCCACAACCTGTAGTAGAAAAACAAAAATCAATATCTACTGTGATACAACCATTCACAACCTGTAGTAGAAAAAAAAATACAAAATCTACTGTGATGCAACCATTCACAACCTATAGTAGAAAAACAAAAATAAAATCTACTGTGATACAACCATTCACAACCTGTAGTAGAAAAAAAAAATCAATATCTACTGTGATACAACCATTCACAACCTGTAGTAGAAAAAAATCAAAATCTACTGTGATACAACCATTCACAACCTATAGTAGAAAACAAAAATCACAATAAAACAAAAATCAACGGTTGTGGATGGTTGTATCACAGTAGGTTACAGTAGAAAAAACAAAAATCAACACCTACTGTGATACAACCATCCACAACCTACAGTAGAAAAACAAAAATCCACACTGTAGTACAGAAATCACCATCCATGATACAGCCGTCTACTCATAGTACAGAAATCACCATCTATATTACAGCCGTCTACCCGTAGTACAGAAATCACCATCCATGATACAGCCGTCTACTGTTAGTACAGAAATCACCATCCATGATACAACCATCTACTATTAGTACATAAATCACCATCTATGATACAGCCGTCTATGTGTAGTACAGAAATCACCATCTATGATACAACCGTCTATGTGTAGTACAGAAATTACCATCCTCTTTGATACAACCATCTACATGTAGTACAGAAATCATTATCTTCTGTGAGCATTAAGATGTAGTACTAAAAGAAAAATCAGTAGTATTGAAGAATGAGCAATGTAAAACAGTTCTATGTGATACAATCACTCACAACATGTTGTAAGGAATAATACAATATATATACTGGAGATATCCCAATCACTTTAGAAATTAAAAACAGTTAGGTAAAAGTTCCTGATGATGCCAGATTAACAGTGGAAAAACATTGTTTTATTGTATATATTTTCTATCCCATTTTAAATTTTTAATATACAACATATCTTAAGAATTTTTATTACAATGTTTATAAACTAAGGCCATCTTAGTTATAGAAATATTATAGATTTGTGTAGAATTAAATATAAGACTGTGTAATTCACTAAATAAGATATTGTCTTGTCACTCTTCAACTACAATTCTAGCTTGTCTGAAAGATTATCTTACCCCACATCGGTTTAGAAAAGCACACATTGCTTCAGCCTCTCCTGTACTTTCAACACAATGTATTCCTAAACTTTCCAGCATATCTTCACACTGCAGAAACAGATTGTAACAGCTGTTCATGAATCTATCATTAATAGAAAATTAAATTTTCTATTGAAATACTTGATATAAGTTGTATATTTTTAACTTAAAAGCTTTTTTTAATAGTTCAAATCAAATTGCCATACACTTATACTTCCTTATGTTATCTAGAAACTTAAACTATTTTATGTTGTCTATACACCTAAATTTCCCTAGATGGTTCCTACAGTTAAAGATTCTTTGTGCTGTGTTTACAGTTAACACTGTCATTATGTGGTCCTTACAGTTCAAGATTCTTTGTGCTGTGTTTACAGTTAACACTGTCATTATGTGGTCCTTACAGTTCAAGATTCTTTGTGTGGTGTTTACAGTTAACACTGTCATTATGTGGTCCCTATAGTTAAAGATTCTGTGTGGTGTTTACAGTTAACACTGTCATTATGTGGTCCTTACAGTTCAAGATTCTTTGTGCTGTGTTTACAGTTAACACTTTGTCATTATGTGGTCTCTACAGTTCAAGATTCTTTGTGTGGTGTTTACAGTTAACACTTTGTCATTATGTGGTCCCTATAGTTAAAGATTCTTTGTGTGGTGTTTACAGTTAACACTGTCATTATGTGGTCCTTACAGTTCAAGATTCTTTGTGTGGTGTTTACAGATAACACTTTTCCTTACTTGGTTCCTACAACTAAGGTTTTTATAAGAGTGAAAGTTAGATACTTCTGGGGGTTCATTCAGTTATTTGGCCCCTACATTTGCTGTCCATTACCTGACCTGTACGTAGTTTCCTATAACTAAGATTACAAGAAGCTTACAATTAAGTTACCTGTGGCATGATTGTTTTTATGTGAAAAATCAAGAGGTTCATGTAAAAACATGTTTTCTTACATCTTTTAGTACAGCTTTAAAACGAGAACGGTTTCCCTTCTCAGTATTTATTTTGTAAGTATTTGAACCGTGATATCTTGCATTATTCCTCTGGGACATCACTTCATACTTCAGAGCTGGTGCTTCTCCTTCTGTCACAAATACAAGATTAACCCCTATCTGAAGAAGGTAGGAAACGCGAAAGAAAAGATTCCTGTTGCAAAAGAGTAAAAAAAGAGAGAATTTAAAACACCAATAAAACATGTTCAGTTTTAAAATGATATGATAAATATGTGAACCACAAAGGGTACAATCCAAAATTCAATGATACTAATCATCAGACCTACCATGATGCTACAATTAGTTCAAGCCTGACTTTAAATCTTGGACACTTTACTGGCATTTCCAAGATGGATGTCAGGCAAAAGAAAAAAAATGGATGCTTCTATAAATACAATCAACTGTATGTAACCTATTACAACATTGAATTTTTCAATGTCAATGGTCCTTCAGGTCATTGAATGTGTTGAGGAACAGCAAAAGTCAACTATTACTAGTTAACTTTACAAAAAAGGCCATGTGGAATGTGCTGAAATATAGAGAAAGTTATGAGGTGGTATTCATTTACTTATTAATTATTACTATCCAGAGAAAGTTATGAGGTGGTATTCATTTACTTATTAATTAGTAGTATCCAGAGAAGGTTATGAGGTGGTATTCATTTACTTATTAATTATTACTATCCAGAGAAAGTTATGAGGTGGTATTCAT